CTTTAAATTTCTCAATTAGTTTGATATTTTTAATGTAGTTTGTAATAGGTCCAGAGCAATGAAGGCTTATTACAACAAACCTTAGCAATTTCAGTCTTACTGTGAAATTACTAGCACACTTCCTAATTATCCTAAAGACATATAGGCTGTTTGTAATATGCATAAAATATCAGTCAGCTTAAAAAAATACTGAAAACGTTTCTATTTCACCTGGCGCATTGAAAAATACCAATGTCATTTGTATAGAGTCAGTCTTTTTCAAATAACTTAAAGCGCATACGTTTCGTGGTGGTCAAAATCATGATGTGTAAAATTTATTAAACCAAAATGCACACATTCTGATACAACTTTGAATATTTGAGATTGCCTTTTAGGTTTATTGCCTCGCATATCTTAAGGCTAATTGGAAAATACATAATTCATTTTTCAACTAGCTTTATTTATTTCAAGCTGTTTGCATGAAGCCTTCCTGCTATTTACAGTAAAGGGTTACTGTAAACAGCATTATTAGAAGTTTGTTCCAAAAAGTCTAATTAATTTCAGTCTATTTCAATAATTCTTCGCCCATTTCTTAATTACCCTAAATGCATATAAGCTAAAAAAAATAAGCCTGAAAAATATCAGGCAGGTTAGAAATAATGAGGACTTTTCTGGTACATTGAAAAATGCTACAGACTTTTACAAAGAAATGAATTTTTTAATAAACTTACGTCACATGTAAAGATATACTATAGATATGAACTGAAGGGCAATCATTTTAAAATCAATTGAAGTCGCCTATACCTTCTGATTAAAAGCACAAAACGGTACATATTTATTTTTTCATAAAAAAGGCGAAACATTTTTATACGATCCTTGAAGACTTTCAATGTTCAGACTAATTAAGATGTAACTGACACTAAATCATTCCATGTTTAATAAAAAGTTTTGATCAAAATGCTGGATAAATAAGACTCCTGTTTGATTTTACTAATTACATTTAATTATCGAATTAAATAAGGCCATTAAAACTAGCCGCAAAAAAAATGAAGCCTTACCTTTGCCGGCACCCTTGATTCAAATAAAGTCGCAACTTTTAACAGGTAAGGTATTATGAAAGCATAACCGTACTGTAAGTGACCTTTCAAAAGTCGAAGTAGATAACAGGCAAAAAAGAAAAAAAAAATGAAAATAAGATAGAAGCATTCCGTTATTTGTGAGCTGCGGCCGAATAAGGGTGTAGTTTTGGTCAGCCCAAAAGATCGTAAACCAAGAGAGGAGCCGTATTCGCTCCTCGACCATAACCGAGTACAGGAAATATGCAGATATTTCTTGTCTTAGAACGCCCTCATCCACCTAATGACCTGGAATTGCATTTTTTTACTGCTTCTTAGCCGAGGGGCAGCGCGCGATTGTGCCTTATATTTTTATTGAGGTCGCGCTTTCAGCTTCTTTTTAGAGGGAAAAATTACGAAAAGATAAATTCTCCTTTTCACTTATGGTATTATTACCTTGCAATCCTTTTTTTCCCCTCATTTTATTCCTGGAATTTGTTGAAGTTAATTAGTATTACAATCTTTAATTTAAATTGATTCAAATATCAGCATTTAAAAAAAATTTATATGTTGAAATTTCAATACTTGATATTATCATTGCTGCTATGGAAAAAATTACGAAAAGAAAAATTCTTATTCTTTTCACTAGCAATATTATTACCTAAAACCTTCTTTTCATTTTATTCCTAGAATATGTTTTGTAGTTAATTAAAATTAAATCTTTAACTTAAATTGATTCAAATGTAAGCATTTAAAAAAGATTAATAAGTTGAAAACTCTAATACTTGACAAATATTATCATTGCTGCTGTGGGAAAAATAAGGAAATTCTCCTTTCCTTTGCGGTCTTATTACCTACCAGCATTTTTTCCCCATTTTATTTCAAGAATATGTTGTAGTTAATTAAAATTAAAATCTTTTCATTTGAATTGATTCAAATGTCAGCATTTAAAAAAGATTAATAAGTTGAAAACTCTAATACTGGACAAATATTATCATTGCTGCTGTGGGAAAAATAAGGAAATTCTCCTTTCCTTTGCGGTCTTATTACCTACCAGCATTTTTTTCCCATTTTATTTCAAGAATATGTTGTAGTTAATAAAAATTATAATCTTCTCATTTGAATTGATTCAAATGTCAGCATTTAAAAGAATTAATATATAAAAAACTACAATGCTTAATAAATGTTATCATTACTGCTATGGAAAAAATTACGAAAAGATAAATTCTCTTCAATTGCAATCTTATTACCTAACAAACGCTTTCCATTTTATTCCTAGAATATGTTTTGTAGTTAATTAGTATTAGAATCCTTAATTTGAATAGATTGAAGCGTCAACATTTGAAAAAGATTAATAAGTTGGAAACTATAATGCTGTGGAAAAAATGAGGGAAAGCTAAATTCTCTTTTTCTTTGCGGTCTTATTACTACCTAACAACATTTTTTTCTTCATTTTATTCCAAGAATATGTTGCGGTTAATTAGAATTAAATCTTTAATTTAAATTAATTTAAACGCCAGCATTTAAAAAAATTAATATGTCATTAATTGGTAACGAAATTTATGTTATTTTTTGCTTAGTATTTTTCTGTTTAAGTAATTTTTCCTCCACTACATTTCAAAAATTCAAAGTAGAAAGCGAAATGCAACATAAATCCAGTTATTTCCTGGTGACACTCTTAAAGAGTAGTAAAGTTTTCCTTATTCTACAAGTTTATTTAATTCATTATTAATTTAAAATTTTGCAGAGAATGGAACAGTTGGTGTCCCAGTTCATATTTGGTTATTGTTTTAACAAATTTTATTCAAATTGATTTCAACAACCATTACTTTTAAATAGTTAAAGCGTACTTATATCAGCCTTGCTACAAATATTTCAAATTGCTCAGCTCTATAAAAGGATTTAATTTTATGGAAATGAAATTTAAGTTACATTTAGTTTAATACTTTTCATTTTATTTAATTTTCTTACTACTGCATATGAAAAAGCCTAGGTATTATGTGAAATGCAACTTAATTGTGGGCATCTTGTGGGAACACTTTTAAGGAGTGGGTGCAATTATCCTGATTCTACAAATTTTACTGTTTAATTCGCAACCAATTGATTATAATTTTTGTAGAAAGCTGATTAGATGTAATCGCTTCTGCTAGCGCTGTAACTGATGGCCAAATGTGAATGAAATGTCTGCTTACAATGTTTTTGGATGTTTTTACGATGGAAAACTTATTTTTAAAAGAGAGTCAGAGTTAGCTGCTATGCATTAATATTGCTGAAAGTATACTTGCCAAACAAGATTTTATTCTTGCATTTAATGTGGTAGCAAAAATTTTTAAATTATGATTGAATCTTACTTTGAAAAATTTGATATAATAAATTTTTAACTAACATTATACTTAACACTAAGTTTACGAGACACGTCATTTTGACGCATTTCGAATTTTATAAGGAAAATTACAAAACCCGTTTGCATTTTTATGTCATCTCTTGTAATGACTTTTATCCATTGATAGAGGTCAATATATATTGAAGTCTATTTTCTTCAAAAGCGTTGAAATATTGAAATTTTCTTCGTTGCATAGCTATCTCTACGCATATGCGTCAATTTGACGCTATCGTAATTTAGACAAAATTTTGAGTACACATGCAAACTTCACATCAATAATAAATAGGAATGTACCGACAATACTTTGATCCGTTATCCGATACAGTTATCTCAAATGAAATAAGCGATAAACAACTGTCGCCGATAAGCAATATTAGAAAGAACAAACACAGAATGTCAATTGATGTCAGAGTGTCAGATTTTGAAGGTTTCAGTTGCTTAGTTCGAGTATTGAAAAATAAAACACTAGAATATTTCCTTAATATATATATCTCATATTTTCACTTTTTTTCTTATAGTATCTAATTACATTGCTTTCTAAGTACAGAGATGCCAACTGCTCCGGACACTCCAAAATAATTAAAGGAACGGTAAATAACTACTAAGTAAAATTTGCAAATATAAAGTGGTGAAATATATAAACCTACAAATTATTTAGAAATAGTGGTGGATAAAAATCTACTAAATTAAATTTATTAAACCAAGAATCACAATTCATAAACTACCACTTTAAAATATATATTTGCTGTCCGGGGCAAAGTTGGCATCTCTGTAAGTGCTTTTATATGTATCCGTTCATGCGTCAAATTGACGCGTGTTCGTAGAGATAGGTATGTATGAAAAGTCAGTAAACCTAGTGTTAAATAGTGTAAACATATTAAAGTGAACCAGCTTTTGTATTGAGCTTTTTGTGATGGCGAAAGGTGAGCTAAATAGTTGCTTACCACTACAATAGTTATTCTAAAATAGTAGTTAAAATCTCTTTTGAAATGCATTAATAAATTTTATTTTCTTCATCGCGATATTCAAGCCGATCTAACATACACGAAAAAAGCCACTTTTTTTTTAATTGTCCTTTCATAAGACTGATAAAGTATTTTCAGAATTAACCCTTTGCACTCCGAGTACTTTAACCTTTTCAAGACGGGCAAGTCATATATGAGTAGTAGGCCTCGCCCTAGAGGGGACTGAAGTGACGTCATCATGGAAAGTCAAGGAGTGCTTATTTCTGCCCGACCGGAAGTTGTTTATTTCTGCCCACTTATAAACCAGAAGTTGCTTATTTCTGCCCGCTTGAAATCGAAACGTCTGTAACGTCATGGGGAGCTTATTTCCTTTTTTTTCTTAAGCCTAAAATATTTTTAGTTTCGGTTTCTGTTCTTAATATAGTTTGTTTTTTGATGCTATTTTCATTTATTACTTTTTTCAGGGTGGCAACACTTATTAATATTATTTTACTTGTTTAGGATGGCAATACTTAGAAACTTTGTTATTTGGGGGAGAAATTGTATATTATGAAGTAATGTCGTCATCTTTTATTACATAATAAATATCATACACATGCTTTAACTCTAGTGGTGCCATCTATGTGTGAATGTTAGAAATAAAATAACTTTAAATCTATTTTAATATTTAAATCTGTTTTATTATTATTTATTAAATATAATTAAGGCTGAGGATTGAACTCACGCCAATCAAAAAGCCTTCGTGGGTCAGTAGTTGGATATCATAACCACTGACCCACGAATGCTTGGTTAGATACGTGTTAATAAGTTAAACTTTTGTATTCTGAACACGTGTATAAATGAAAAAAGGATTTGATATCGATATCATCCTACAGTTTAATCGATATATTTTTCACTTAACCTTTGACAGTTATTAAATATTTATTTCTGCACCTCTTAATGTTATTATAACTTTCTCTGGATGGCAACGGTACTGACCATACACGTGTTCAGATTTGACGTGTTTTGTGTGATAGCACAACTACTGATTACAGAGCGAGCCATTCTGATAAGATATAACAAGCTAGATCTTGGTCTATGACGTGTGTGTTGAATTCAGTTCCTTTCACTTGCGCTGGTAAATAGTTAAGCATGTGACAGCTTAACATTTTTCTGATTGGCTGTTAAAGTTATACTTTCTTGGTTTGGCAACTAGAAGGATAGAGTGACTAAATTTCCTCCCCCTCTTATATTAGTATTTCACTTGTTCTTCTGTTGTGTCTCGATTAAGTTTTTAAACTGTTTGATTCACCGGGTCGTTATGGACGGATATTTAAAGAGAAAACATGTTGAAACTGAAGTAAGTACTATTGATTTCTTCGTAATTTACTATGCTTTTAAATTTATTGTTAATAGAATTGTTTTATTGTAACTTCTAGCACTTATTCGTTTTTAAGAAGAGCATGTGACAAAATTTAGTTAACTTTAAAAATTCTTTAATATTAATTGAATCGAAAGGTGTAATAAAGTTAAGTTTAAAGCATAATTACATTCTGTTAATAGTTGTTACTTATTTTATTGTTGTTCTTGGTGACTCAAAAAATGTTTCTTTTTATTTTATTAGAATGAACCAAAGAGGAAAGGTTTGTTCCAGGAGGGAAACTTTCCAGAGTATTGCTATCCAATTGGTGAGGACTTATTCGTTTTGGCCAGCACGTATAACAAGAAATCAGTCATTCATATACGAAGATTTAACAGATATGGAGACTCACACAATCCTTCAGGATATGGTATAACTCTACAGCCTGAACAGTATAATGCTTGCTTCTGTCATGGTCCACCGACATGTATCTTCGGCATTGCAGACATCAACATGGCTTTGGAAGAGATCCCTCCAGCTAATCCCCGCGAAAAATTTTATGTGTTGATGAATGACGAGGGAAAGAATCTACTAGTGGACGAATTGGTTCATTCTATACCTCAGCCTTGGTTCATTCTATACCTCCAGAAGTGGCCGCGTCTACAAGCACGAGACGGAAATCAGTTTCAAACAATGGAGAGAACTACAGAAGTGTCGAGATAATGTGACATTCGGCTATATTAATTTGAAATACAGGTTCGAGGACTTTTTGAACATTTTTCAAGAATCCACCCATCAACAGTGTCCAGTGGTGCCAAAGAATTAGGGCATCAACGAAGCGGGCCCTGTTATGAAAGATTGCCTGAAAATTGTGTTGCATCAACATATTCGACTGAAGAAAGGTCTGAAGCCAGTAGACAGGTCTGCTGACTTTCTTGACCAGGTTGTGTGCAGTGTTCACGATTTCAATGAATCTTGTTTGGACTTACACGTGGAGAATATTGCTCTGGATTTTACTAATGAACTAAGTGAACGAATGTTGTTTAGACAACCCTTACAGACTTTTTGTGTGAAGCTTTTTTAAAAGAAATTAAATTAGATGCTTTATTAACTGCTGCTGAAAATAATTTTCGCAAATAAAATAACTTAAGTTTTAAAATATTTTGCTGTTATTTTTAAATTTTGTAAAAATTACTATGAACTTTTGTTTTCAAGAGGAAAAGAGATTTCTTTTTTTCAGCAGGCATGAATTTTCCTTTTCAGATTAATACTTTTTTTTTCAGGTTCTAAATATAGGAGAAAAAAATTCTTGCCGTAATACAATAAGGAAAACTATTTTATACTTATTTAGGCATTACTACTGGAAAATTAATACATTTCCCACAATAATAAAAATATTTTCCGAAAAAAAAAATAGAAAATTTTGTTAAAAAGCTTGAAATATTTTTAAAAAAACTAGCAATTTTTTAACAAAAAGTAAAAATATTTTCCTAAAAGCGAAAATTTTTTGTAAAAACATAAATATTTTCTTAAAAAATATAAAATTTTGTAAAAAAAATGTAAATATTTTTATAAAAGTTTACATTTTTTCTTAAAAGAGAAATTTTTTTGTAAAAACATGAATATTTTCTTAAAAGATAGAAAATTTTGCTAAAAAGTTTGAAATATTTTTTAAAAAACTAGCAAATTTTTAACAAAAAGTAAAAATATTTTCTGAAACATTAGAAAGTTTACCTCAAGAATAAAAATGTTTTCTGAAAAACTGGAAAATTTTGTTAAAAAGTTTGAAACACTTTTTCATTGTGAATACTCAATACTGCTTTTTTGGCTGCTTTTTTGCTTTTGGAAGAGGTAGGTAACTGTTTGCTCTCAAGGGATTATATCTTGCTGTAAACATCTCCATACTTTCTGCAAAGTTCATCCTCCATCCAGACTCCCATCTCTATGAATTCGTCGAAAAAACTTTCCAAAAAGCTTGAGATATGTGGGACTCGATCACAACTTCATAGTTTCCTAATTCTTGTTGTCTATTTCTTAAACAATTCCGATGCATTTTCACAATTCTTTTTTATCTTTTTATTGTTATTTGTGGAATGATCTATTTTCATTTTTTCTTGAACAAGACGATGTGTGAATGGATCGGATATGATTGAGTAAATCAGATTTTAACTTAAAAAATTCACTACACAAATTAAACTTATGCGAAACTAAATGAGTCAGTAAATATCTCTTTAAATTATCATTTCGAAAAAGGTCTTTTTACATTCTGCACATTCAAAAGTTTCTCGATTTTTCATGAGTTTCTAAATGTCTATTCAAGTTACACTTTCGATTAAACACCTAATCACATAAACGACATTTAAAGTCTTTTTTATTAGAGTAAATTTTCAAATGTTTAACCATATACTTTTTTATGCGTGAATATTTTTCCACATATTTCACATATCTACAAAGTAAAATAAACGCTATTTGAATATCATACTACATTAACTCAATGAATTATTTAAAAAATTTAAAGTATTCTACAGAAAGGGATTATTTTTTTAAAATTGTTAAGTTCTTAAAGTTAATATCGGTTTTTTTTCTTTCAAAAATCAATTTTATGTCGCAAACAGTAACAATTTTAACTATATACGCATATTGAAATCATCAGAAGTTTTCAAAAATCCTCGAAACGTAAGTATTCAACAAGTAATTTAGAGTTATACAAAAATATTTTTATAAAACCGGAGTAGTGTAAGCGTGATTCAAGTAAATATTCGAAAACAATAATGTTATAAATAATAAAATCAACTCACATTAGTTTTTTTATTCGTATTAGAATTCGTATAGTTTTCAGTCATTTGCTTTTAATGAAGGACACTATTTCGTAATTAATTTATTACGGCTATAAGTACTTTAATTTTCTTATTTGATATTATAATAACGATAAAAACTTACTTAATTTTAAAATTAGGAGTCGAATTTAAAACTATCTCACTATATATTAACGGATATTGACACGATAACTATATCCTCATGTATATAGATAAGCTATATCCTAACAATTGTGATTAACTAATGAAATATAGATAAAATCCAAACGTCCCGGGCAGAAATTATCTATAGGACAGAAATAAGTTACTTCCGGTTGAGGCAGAAATTAGCAACTTCCATAATGACGTCACTTCCGTCCCCTCTAGGGCGAGGCCTACTACTCATTTACATTCTCAGGATGGCGATAATCAGGGTAAAAAAGATAAAACTGGTAGCCAAACTACTTTTATAGCAGTTTATTTATGGGCGGGGTAGTGATAGTTTCCTTTATTTAATTCACCACTACATAGTTCGAATTAAAAATTGTATAGTTACACTTTTAACGCATATGGGTTGGTCGTAAGGCCTCAGACGTCCTGTTCCGCTACAACGAACATGGGCTGGATGTGTTTATTTAAAGTAAAAGCCAAAAATAAATCTGTCAAATTAGCTATGCTCAAACTTAAGCTACTGCTTTTTATATTTTACCATCCTGATACTGATTCCTTACGAATACATTTGGGACNGCTAATCCCCGTGAAAAATTTTATGTGCTGATGAATGACGAGGGAAAGTATCTGCTAGTGGACGAATATACCTGCAGAAGTGGCCGCGTATACAAGCACGAGACGGAAATCAGTTTCAAACAGTGGAGAGAACTACAGAAGTGTCGAGATAGTGTGACATTCGGCTATATTAATTTAAAATACAGGTCCGTGGACTTTTTGAACATTTTTCAAGAATCCACCCATCAACAGTGTCCAGTGGTGCCCAAGAATTAGGGCATCAACGAAGCGGGCCCTGTTATGAAAGATTGCCTGAAAATTGTGTTGTATCAACATATTCGACTGAAGAAAGATCTGAAGCCAGTAGACAGGTCTGCTGACTTTCTTGACCAGGTTGTGTGCAGTGTTCACGATTTCAATGAATTTTGTTTGGACTTACATGTGGAGAATATTGCTCTGGATTTTACTAATGAACTAAGTGAACGAATGTTGCTTAGACAACCCTTACAGACTTTTTGTGTGAAGCTTTTTCAAAAGAAATTAAATTAGATGCTTTATTAACTGCTGCTAAAAATAATTTTCGCAAATAAGATAACTTAAGTTTTAAAATATTTTGCTGTTATTTTTAAATTTTGTAAAAATTACTATGAACTTTTGTTTTCAGAGGAAAAGAGATTTCTTTTTTTCAGCAGGCATGAATTTTCTTTTTCAGATTAATACTTTTTTTTCAGGTTCTAAATATAGAAGAAAAAAATTCTTGCTGTAATACAATAAGGAAAACTATTTTATACTTATTTAGGCATTACTACTGGAATGCATTTCCCACAATAATAAAAATATTTCCCGAAAAAAAATATAAAATTTTGTTAAAAAGCTTGAAATATTTTTAAAAAACTAGCAATTTTTTAACAAAAAGTAAAAATATTTTCTTAATAGCGAAAATTTTTTGCAAAAACATGAATATTTTCTTAAAAAATATAAAATTTTGTAAAAAAAAATTAAATATTTTTATAAAAGTTCAAATTTTTTCTTAAGAGAGAAAATTTTTTGTAAAAACATAAATATTTTCTTGAAAGATAAAAAATTTTGCTAAAAAGTTGGAAATATTTTTTAAAAACTAGCAAATTTTTAACAAAAAGTAAAAATATTTTCTGAAATATCAAAAAGTTTACCTCAAGAATAAAAATATTTTCTGAAAAACTAGAAAATTTTGTTAAAAAGTTTGAAACACTTTTTCATTGTGAATACTTAATACTGCTTTCTTGGCTACTTTTTTGCTTTTGGAAGAGGTAGGTAACTGTTTGCTCTCAAAGGATTATATCTTGCTGTAAACATCTCCATACTTTCTGCAAAGTTCATCCTTCATCCAGACTCTATGAATTCGTCGAAAAAACTTTCCAAAAAGCTTAAGATATATGGGACTCGATCACAATTTCATAGTTTCCTAATTCTTGTTGTCTATTTCTTAAACAATTCCGATGCATTTTCACAATTCTTTTTTATCTTTTTATTGTTATTTGTGGAAGGATCTATCTTCCTTTTTTCTTGAGCAAGACGATGTGTGAATGGATCGGATATGATTGAGTAAATCAGATTTTAACTTAAAAAATGCATTACACAAATTAAACTTATGCGAAACTAAATGAGTCATTAAGTATATCTTTAAATTATCATTTCGAAAAAGGCCTTTTTACATTCTGCACATTCAAAAGTTTCTCGATTTTTCATGAGTTTTTAAATGTCTATTCAAGTTACACTTTCGATTAAACACCTAATCACATAAACGACATTTAAAGTCTTTTTCATTAGAGTGAATTTTCAAATGTTTAACCATATACTTTTTAATGCTTGAATATTTTTCCACATATTTCCCATATCTATAAAGTAAAATAAACGCTATTTGAATATCATACTACATTAACTCAATGAATTATTAAAAAAAAGTTAAAGTATTCTACAGAAAGGGATTATTTTTTTAAAATTGTTAAGTTCTTAAAGTTAATATCGGTTTTTTCTCTTTCAAAAATCAATTTTATATCGCAAACAGTAACAATTTTAACTATATACGCATATTGAAATCATCAAATGTTTTCAAAAATTCTCGAAACGTAAATATTCAACAAGTAATTTAGAGTTATACAAAAATATTTTTATAAAACCGGAGTAGTGTAAGTGTGACTCAAGTAAATATTCGAAAACAAT